ACTGGTGAAAGAACAAGTTCTCCTTACCCTTCTCAAAAGGGAGCTAGTAATTCCCAATTCAATTAAGGAGGTGATGGTAGGACACCATTTCCTGCTAGGCATCAGAAGCTCTTACAGAGCCTCCCTATTCTAGGCAGCAGTATAAAACCACATTTTTCCACATAATTTCATTTTGCAGCAGAGAAATGGTCTGCTGATCTTTTTATTGCAGAGAGGGCTTTGTTGGCCTACTGGATTTTATGCCATTCTCTGTGAGGAAGGAAACAGAGAATAGCGTCCAAGTTAAAAAACAAGGTCAACAAAGTCATAGCATGAAATTGCAAAACACTGAATGAATACAGATGGGTCCCAAGCACAAGAATATTTCTGCCACTACACTGGCTTTTCTGCTCTTTCTTCCACACAGCGAAGACCGACGCACAGGGCTGCAGGCTAGGCAGAAAGCCCCACAGCCAGGTTGTGTTGTGGTTATTCAGCAGACGCTCCAGGGCAAGTGATGGGACAAACTCCATCCACTGAAAGTGTACATTGGCAAAAGCTAGGAAATCACAGCTCTTCACACAGATCATAGTGACTTGCGCACACTCTGGATTCGGAGTTACTCATTAGGCTCCTAATATGCTATACAATCTTTTTGTACAGATTTTTTTTTCTACTATATAGAACTTTATTTGTAATACAAGACAGGAAGACAGAGTCAATCTCTCAAGGATCGTGGCCCGCATAGAATTTGGACAGAAAGTCTTTAGGTCGTGGGGTTTCCGTCTCATGGAAATACCTCATGATGTGAGTCCTCTGCTTCCATACCTGAATGGTTTCTTGAAGATCCATTTTTCCCTGCGCACAGACGAAAGAATTTTAGACTAGTTCTCAGTTAGAGCCCGATTCTAACTATACAGCACTGTGAAAGTTATTTGAATGCACTTAGAAACACCCTTAAGATAGCTGCATCAACAATTCTGTACTCCTGAAGACTGCTTGCATCACCTATACTGCGACACAAATATATATGCTGTTCCTGCCTTGTGACTTTAATGCTTCGTGTCCTATATTAACAAGTCACTTGTCTCTACAGCACAGTTTTCCAGCCCTGTGGAATAGGCAAGGGACCCTGCCCTCCTCTTAGAACCTGCCTTGTTTCTCTCATAACCGGAATCCCCCATAAAAGTCTACATAACATTCCTAACTTTCATGCACCTCTATTTAATTTTTTTGAATAGCGGCAAGTTAGCTGTAAAACTAAGTAAAATTGCTGCTAAGTGCTTTGCACCAGTATCACTACCACCGAGATATTAAACATAACTTCTTCATGACTCCAGTCTATGAATTATTGTACTGGTTTCAGAGGATGGCAGCACAGGGCAAAATGAGACTGCCTGGAATTGTCACCTACCATATTATCTAGGATTCTGTTTCCAGATTTTTTTCATCATCACGTAAAGACAGACTAACTGTCTTGAAATGCAAGAAATACAACATGTGAGCACAGCAGTTCTTGCTTGGAAGCTTTCTAATGCATTAGAACTGCAGAGGTCAGTTATTGCTGCTCAGACCCGTTTTGAAGCCTTGCCCTACTCTTGGTATGCCGATTATTGCTTTGCACCAGACAGGTCTCTCAGGCCTGAGACATAAGCAGATGTGTTACAGAGTTGGGGTGTTTTGCCACCCAAAGCCAGCCTCCCACCAAGTACTGCCACTCTAATGTACGTTTCGGAATCGGTGAAGAAAACCACATCCCAATGTAAGGAAGTACTGTGGGGAGCAGAAAGGTCATTTTTAACGGTAAACTAGCTACCAGCATCTTCTTCTCCCTTTCTTTGATTGCCATTGTTTTCTAAAAAAAAAAAAAAAAAACAACCCCACCAAACCCCAACAACCAAAAAAAAAAAACCTAAAAAAAAAAAAAAAAAAACAACCCCACCAAACCCCAACAACCAAAAAAAAAAAACCTAAAAAAACAACAAAAAACCACACCACCACCAAACTCAGTATTTAAACTACTGTTTTGCTTGCCGTACACTTCCTCTTTTAAACATCTGCACACTGGAAGAGCCAGTACACTGAGTCACAGAAATCCGTACTCTAGCAACTCTAACTTAGGCAAGTTAAGACCCTGTTCCTCTGCATGCTAAAGCAGCTTGATCCCTTATCAACAGGTTTGTTGACAAAGATAAACCAGAGATGACAATCTTCATAGTGCAAGCCAAAATAAAGCTGTCCCTCTCCTCCATCACGCTCGCCACCAATTATCCACTCTCACATTCTCTGCAGCTTCAACAAAACGGGAATAGCTTGTTTGTACCTTAATAACCAGCATGTCTATCGCCCGTGGATCTGTAACGTGGGCATTCTTCATGAACATCTCCCGCACCTTGTTACGCCCCTGTTTCACCGTGATGTCCAGCTGGTATAGGTGTACTAGGAAAAACAGAACACCCACAGAGGTCATCTATACTGCTTTTAATTTTTTCCACTGATAACGTGCAGCTCAACGCTACAAAACACTACACAGTCATCTGTCCTTGCAATGTTTGCCAGCTTCGCTAATCCAATTAATTTAAAGCAAATAACCAACGCAGCCACCCCACGAGTCCCAGTGCCGTTTTAAGGAGGCCGACAATCATGCCACGCATCCCTATTCTGGAAAATTAAAGCTATATTTCTCTTCTGCTCGGTTAGAAGGACCAAGTGGCAAGTTAGGCACCAGGTGATGGGGTTTCCCCCTGCCGGGGAAGCAGCCGGGGCAGGGAGGGCAAGGCAAACCCGGCCGCGCCAGGCCGGCGGCCCTGTGCTGCACCGGGGAGCGGCCGCTGTAAGGCCCCGAACAACCCTGTTCGCCTGCCCTACACGCAGCGGGCCAGGGCGGGGAAAGGGCCCCGGCGGAAGCCGGGGCAGGGCAGCGACGGGTTGAGGCGGGACCCCTCGCACCCCGGGGTAAGCGGAACCCCCCGGCGGGCCCTTTAAGAACGCAACGGCTGCGGGGAGGCCGTTGCAACCTTGAGCTCGCGCTCCCGCCCGCGCATGCATGGCCGGCTCCGCGCCCCTCACCCGCGTTGGGCACCTCGCGGTACCAGGCCCGGTACAGCTCCCTCACGCGCCGCTTCGCCTCGCCCAGGTCCCGGCTGAAGATCGGCTTCACCGCCGCAGACACCGCTCCTTTGCCCGCTACCCCCCTCTTGT